CCCTTTCACATTCCAGAAACAATATATACAAAAGAAATTTTACCTGACAATCAATTGTTTTCACACCTGATTAATCAGGTAATACCCATACTATTTTCAATTGGCTATTTTGCTATATAAACAATCTTAATGTCAATCTTTTATATTGCTGTACAGGCAAGAATCCGACTTTGAGCATGATTTGCTCATTCATGGTCTCTCGCTCTGTCTATCTCTCTCTCTCTCAATCAAATAACCTGTTAATTTAATTATGTTCAAGGATTTCTTTATTAATACAATTCAGCAAAGGAAGTAACTCTCATTTGCTTCACTTATTACAATTTTGAACTTTGCCTAGATACCCAGAAGCAGAGAAGAGGTACATTTATTTATATTTATACATTTATACTGCATTTAGTTTGTTTGCTTAATACTTAGAAGCAGAGAACATTTTCAAAGAATTAATTAATTTTTCACTATATAATCAATAGAGCCCCCCTTCCTCCCAAAACCCCTGACCCTAGGGCCAAAACTTTCACAATTTTAGAAAAGGCATCCTTGGTCATCATAACTATGCACTTATTTCATCGGCTTAATACCCAGGAGATGAGAAGATTTTCAAAGAATTAATGCATTTTCACTAATATATAATCTTTAGAGTCCCGCCCTTAAAACCGAACCCCTGACCCAGGGGCCATGAACATCACAATTTTGGAAGAAGCACCCTTGCTCATCATAACTATGCATTTAGTTCATTTGCTTAATACCCAGGAGCAGAAGAGAAGATTTTTTAAATAAATAATGCATTTTCACTATATATTCAACAGAGGCCCGCCCTAGCACCGGAACACCTGATCTTGGGGCCATGAATTTCATAATTTTGGTAGAAGACTCAATGCTTATTACATTCATGCCAAAGTTTGACTTCTTGATGTTCAGAAGTAAAGAAGATTTTTAAAGATTGCATTACTTTTGATGATTTTATGCCCATCCCTAAGGCCCCAGGGGGCAGGGACCATGAATTCTTCAAATTTCGTTCCCCTTTACCCATAGATGCTATATGCCAAAATTGGTTGAAATTGGTTCAGTGGTACAAGAGAAGAAGCTGAAAATGTTCAAAAATTTACGACCGACGGACGACGACTGACAAAAAAGATAGCAATAGGTCACAAGAGTAACTCTAAAAACATCTTTAGGTACACCATATCGAAATAGAATACACCATAACAAAATAGAGAGGTGGAGATTTCATACGTGTATGGGAACGTCTAGTAGGTGGATTCCCTAAATTTTTCGCGTATTACGCCATCAGTTAAAGTGTGTACAAGTTTTCTATGCGTCTAGAATGGCATCTATACGCAATTATAAACTTTTACAATAAAAAAGTAAATTTTGTGTGAAAATGTGATTGTTGTACATTACTTTGGATGTTTAGTTTCATGAGCACTTGTATAAACAATGTTTTATTTATTAACTTAAGTCAAACTGATGTCACAAAACTACAAAATAGTTCAAACAGAGACACCGATAGCAATGTGCACGTTCATGTTACACGTCATTAAATCTCAACAGACAAATTACAAAAACGTGTACGTCAAAGTATATGTACACATTCAAATTTAAGATCTCAACATCTCTAATATGTAATTAGACGTAAAGATCGATACTGAAACGTAAATGTTTTTTTTTTACGACTTTAAACATGTTCTAACTTGTTTGATTTTTTTCATATACAGACGCTTAAGTTTTATTCAAAAATCTTTAACAATTCATACACTGATGTTTAGAAGCTTCAGCCGATGACAATATCGGGTGGAGAACCAATCCTGAAAAAAAAAATCCTGTATTTTACTATTTAACAACCTTTCCTTCTGCATTCTTGGAATTCATCATTATCAAAATGCAGCCTTACTAGAGTGTTCATAATTCATACTGTATTCTTTTTCAATGTGACCGTCACGGTAGCTCAGTCGGTAGAGCGCTCGCTAAGTGATCGGTAGGTAGTGTGTTCGAATCACGGCCAAGACTGACTTAAGTCGATAAAAATAGGTAGCAACTGTTCCTTCGCCAAGCGCTCGGCGTTGCGGATCCTTCGGATAAGACCTTAAAAACCGAGGCCCGGAGTCACGGTAGGCGTTGGCACGTTAAAAAACCCTCCCTGCTCAATGGCCCTGAGTGCCGAGTAAAGGTCTAAATTTGAAGCCGTTCACCGGTATATGGTGACGTCTCTTTATGAGTGAAAAATTCTCGAACGAGACGTAAAACAACATATAATCAATCAATCAATCAATTGTATGTTGTTAAGCGTTCTAGCCAGAAATTGTTTTCTTTTCTAGTTGCCATTGTGGACCAGTATATCAAATGCATCACAGAAAAAGAAACATACAAGTATGCAGGAATCAACTGATATGGAAAATGTTTACTAATACATACATATAACAAGCTAATTCAGAGAATTTGTTTCCCCCGCTTAGGGAAAAAAGACGAGCATGCGCATATCGGGGTGGGGTTCGGACCCCCCCCCCCCTTCTGGATTTGTATAATTATTAAATGTATACATGCATATTGAAGCAAATAAAAATGCCAATATGGATATAAAGCTTTGATTGCTTATTCCTTACTATGTGTATAGAAGATTCTTTTTATTTAGAATATTTTTCACAATGTAATAATGATTTTTAGAGTTTGTACAAGTCAGACGTCATAACTTTTTCATTTCACATGCTGAATACTATCATTTAGTAAATCAAAAAAAAAAAAAAATAATAATAAAAAAAAGAAGGATCGTCCAGGATTTGATCCCGGCACCTCTCACATGATAAGCGAGAGCAATTATTTATGTAGCAAAGTAAATGCAAACATTAGGTCACATATAATGTTTATATTCACGTTCGATATTGTCAAAATTTTACACAATACATGGTGTCTAATTTAGCCTTTACTAAATAGTTCTAATAGATTTAATAAGAATATAAAGTCCGCCGACGACCTGTATTATACTTTATAACTCTCCACATGCCCCTGTACTTAAAATAGTGCCAAGCGACTTTTAATACAATAAATAATACTAAAAAACGGGGCGGGACACTTTGACAGGGGCAAGAGAGGCCCTAGGGAGTTATGGTATAAAATTTCATTGCAAAAGCTTCTTGAGATATCGCCCGGAAGCGAAAGTTTTACACACGGACGGAATGTATGAATTTACGACATTGAACTGTGACCGTTTGATCTCAAAATCAATAGGGGTCTTCCTTAGGCCACAGGGAGTTGTTATGTAAAATGTCATTGCAAAAGCTCAAAGGATTCTCGAGATATCGCGCGAAAACGAAAGTTTTAAAACAGACAGAATTTATGACCTTGACCTTTGACCTCAAAATCAATAGAGTTACTTTTAAGGCCATGGGAAGTTGCTATGCAAAATTTCGTTGCGAAAGCTCAAAGGGTTCTCGAGATATCGAAAACGAAAGTGTTACAGACAGAAATACAGACGGACGGAACGGACGGACAGACCCAAATTAATATTCCCCACTTTCAGTGAAAGCGGGGGACAATAAGACGAGGCATAATGCATCTTAAGTATGTTATCACAAGAATACAAGTCCAATGGGCCACAACGCTCACGTGGGAAGCATTGCCCAGCCATTTTTCTTCACATTTCCAAAAAGAAGTTATATTCCGTTGAAAAATTGTATCCCCATATTATAGCCCTACTCTGAGGGTCTCTGAATACACACAACATGGGAATGCTTCGATATCAATATGATTAACTTGAACTTGTAGTTATTGGGAAGAAAATTCTTTTCCTGTATATATGCATTACGTAAAATTTGATCCGTATTTTAGCTAACTCTAACCCCCAGTGCATAATTTGAAAATGAATCCACACAGCTTGGAATGTTTGCATAAGTGTAGCGTAATTGTGGTTCCTAAGATGATTTTCAGAATTATTTTCTATAAAGTCCCATATAAGGCCCAACCCTACCCCCAAAGGGTCATGATAGAATCTACGCTATCTCAGAAAAAAATCAAATTTGTTTCATCTTTCTAGCCCAGTGGTTCTTGGGATGAAGATTTTTAAAGAATTTTTCTTATGTTTTTCAATGTAAGACTTTGATCCCCTATTGTGGTCATTTTGAACACTTTGAATCCACTCTACCTCTGGAAGCTTCCACAAAAGTTTCGTCTCTTCTAGCCCAGTGGTTCTTGACAAAAAGATTTTTAAAGAATTTTTCCTATGCATTTCAGTGTAAAACTTTGATCTCTGTTGTGGCCCCACCCAACCAGCCGGGCCATGTTTTTAACAATTTAGAATCTGCACTATCATAAGAAGCTTTCAAATAAGTTTCATCTCTATTGTCCCAGTAGTTCTATAGAAGTAGATTTTAAAAATAATTTTTCTTTTATTTCAATGTAAGACTTTGATCCCCTATTATGGCCCAACCCTATTCCTGGGAGACATGGTTTGAACAATTTAGAATAAACACTACCACAGGAAGCTTCCACACAAGTTTTATTTCTTCTGGCCTAGTGTTTAAAAGATTTTTTAATGACCCCACCCTATTTTTGCCTTTTCTTGATTATCACCCCTTGGTATTAGATTTGGCCCTTTATTTGACCAATTTAGGATTCCCTCTACCCAATGAAATTATTTTAATTGGTTAAAATTGGCCAAGTGGTTCGTGAGAAGAGGTCGAGAATGTGAAAAGTTTACAGACCGACGCACAGAAAGACAGACAGAAAAATGGACGGACGCCGGACAGCGGGTGATCAGAAAAGGTCACTTGAGCTTTTAGCTCTGGTAAGCTTAAAATTGCTTGAAAATATCAGTTAATGTAATATAAATAATTTTACGCTGTAAAAAATTTAACTTCATCAAAACATGGTAGATCTATTATATGAATTGAAAAACTAATCACATTAACTATAAATTTAACTTCATGTACAGTAAAAGTTGATGGATGAGATAGACAAAATATAGATAACAGATGAACAGAACGCTGTGTTTTGACGCAAAGATTTCCTTACGGTTTCTCGCAAATAAAGCGGTGCTGATGGGTGCATGTTTCGTCATGCCAGCGAAAGTTGCTTACTCCCCGGATCTCAACACAATCCTGCTCCGCCGGATCAGGTTGACCAGACATCCAGTAAGTGAAAGTAAACGGCTGCTCCGATCCTATCCATTTAAAGTTACCCTCAGACTCGATGTCATTTCCACCGATCCAGTAGTCCGCTGCTACTTTGTCATTATCTGTAGAGAATAAGTGTAATGCATATACTACATTTCAATCACGAGATGTCCTTTAAAATTGTTTACATTGAAAACAAAAACGTTAATGCCAATGAATCAAAGAAATGTTACGAAATGATGTTACACTGTTGTTGAAGCATAAAGTAAAACAATAATAAAATGTAGTACAACCTGCAAACATACCAAGTATAATATCTCGATATATCACTGACTTGTTCAGTAGCTTGGTTGTCTTAGTAAGTAGAACATATGTCCATATAGTCGAGAAAGAAGACTGCTTTTTATATCGCGGGTTCGAATCCCACATACTTGTCGTTCGTACAAGACAGTTTGAAACTAATTTCTTGCAATAGGTGTTGGAGAAATATATACCGATCACTGTACTGTTCAACGCCGAGAGCAGTTTTATATTTGCAGCCCGTCATCGGAAAATATATCAAAGTTCATTATTCTAATAAAGAAAATCTTCAAAATTATATTGATTTACCGTGTGGATGTTTAGTTTGTAAGTAGCCATCGATCAATAGATTCTCGTCGTTTGACTCTATAGAAACCAAATCAGATTCAAATGCTTTACAAACTGCCTGAAACAGAAATGTCCATGAGAAAAAAAATTATTAAAACCAGAAGTCTCTGATGAGACTGTAGCTCTACTGGTCTGTACGTATAACAAAAGAAAAATAGCACTTGGATTTGAAACTTTGCAACATACAACAATAAATAGAATTATGTATCTTAATGTAGTCTACTTCTGTGCCAAGTTATATTGAAATCAAAACGAAAACTGTTGGAGGAGTAGCGTTTTGAAAGTATTTCACAGAAATTACTATTTTTAGTAACCATGACAACACCATTCACCGAAATCAAAAATTGATATACATACTATGTATCATAGTGTATTCTAATCAGACCAAAACCGTAGGAGGAGCAGCGTTTTTAAGGAATTTCACAGTAATTTCTATATTCAGTAACCATGGCAACACTGTTATCGAAATCAAAAGCCGATGCATTAAACTATGTGTCTTAGTATAGCCTTCTTGTATGCAAAATTATGTTAAAAGCAGTTAAAACTGTAGCAGGAGTAGCGTTTTAAAGGAATTTCAAAGAAATTTCTATTTTAGTAACCATGGCAACAACGTTCATCGAAATCAAAAGCCGATGCACTAAATTATGTATCAGTGTACTGTCTACTTATATGCCAAGTTATATTAAAATGAAACCAAAACTGTAAGAGGAGTAGTGTTTGTAAGGAATTTCACAGAAATTTCTATTTTTAGTAACCATGGCAACACTGTACATCGAAATCATAAACCGATGCACTAAATTATGTATTTAAGTGAAGTCCACTTATGTGCCAAGTTATATTAAGATCAGGCCAAAACTATAAGGGGAGTAGTGTTTAAAGGAATTTCACAGCAATTATATTTTTATTAACCACGGCAACACTTCATCGAAATCAAAGGCCGATGCACTAAATTATGCATCTTATTGTAGTCTACTTGTATGCCAAGTTATATTGAAATAAGACCAAAACTGTAGGAGGAGTAGCGTTTTAAAGGAATTTCAAAGAAATTTCTATTTTAGTAACCATGGCAACATCGTTCATTGAAATCGAAAACCGATGCATTAAATTATGTATCAATGTACAGTCTACTAGTGTGCCATGTTATATTGAAATCTGACCAAAACTGTAGAAGAAGTAGCGTTTGAAAGGAATTTCACAGAAATTTCTATTTTGAGTAAGTATGGCAACACCGTTCATTGAAATCAAAAACCGATGCACTCAATTATGTATCATTGTACAGTGTACTCGTGTGCCAAGTTATATTGAAATCAGACCAAAACTGTAGGAGGAGTAGCGTTTTGAAAAAAAATGTTTACAGACAGACGGACGCTGACGGACGCCTTACTATCGCAAAAGCTCTTCAGTCCCCGAGACCGAAAACTGACCAGTAGAGCTTAAAATTAATTATTAACTAAAATCAGAGTTAAAACTGATATCATCAAATAGCTTTACATCACCTATAAATCATTTTGTCATTTTCTTTAATTTGATTTTGTTTGTACGAAGTTTGGAGACTTTATTTTAGAAGTAGTTATACTTAAATAAGCTCAGGGTATGGAACATATACATGCATTTAATAATGTGTAATTAACTTAAGGGAACACTTTATAACCAGATTTCCCCGAGGACCTTTCATAAAGAACATAAACTCACCACTGCTTCACTCCACGTATTTGTGAACTGAGAAAACAAGTAACAGGAATCCAGGAGGTGGACCCAATCTCCACAGGGTCCGTCCCCAGAAGTAAACAAAACTGAAAGAGAAGATGTATATTCATCAGAATTGATGGTGGTAAAATATAACAGCTCATGCTCTATAGCATAAATTAAAACTGTGAATACTAGCAGATAACAGCATGGTAACTTGATTGAATAAACATTTTTAGTGATTGTCGACGTTTCCATTGATAAAAAAAACACTCAAGTAATCAATAAATCGTGTTAGAAACCTGTCAATGTAACAGCGAATCCGATTTTCTTTTGTGTGGATAATACGGATTTTTTTCACATAAATCGTAAAACTTTCTATTCTGAGAACTATAGGAGGTGATATCCCAACAACATATTTCGCATTGAATTGATAAGTTCAATAAATTGGATTTTACTTTTAAATTTCCAAAATCAAAATTAAAGTTTATGCACGTCTCTAATATATGCAAAATTGATCTGCAGAATACAAATTTCTTAGCTTGAGAACTGTAAAAGGAGTTATCCAGACAAATTATGTACCTTAACGATGCAACTTTTATTCACCTACTTTCAGCGTTGCGTGCCTGCTTGGATTTCATTTACAGACTACGATTAAATTTCACATTATATCAAATAAATCATTGGTTACGAATAATAAATACCACTCGTTTTTTAACAACCGATTCATTTGATTTTGTGTGAAATTTAATCATGTTCCGTAAATGATATTTTCCGCGGTGATTCCCCTCTTTCAGGTCCCCTTTGAATATTCGGTGCATGTGTCAGTATTAGTTACTTTTTGGAAATAAACATTGCTTTATGGTGACTGTCCTCAGACGTCTAGATTTCTTTGTAATAAAATTGACTTACTTATTTCAGATGAGATGTACAATATTGTCCATAATATTTGAAATCGACACATGGCGCGATACCTGATAGTAAAACTCGGTCAGTATGTACTTCTGTCATATCTACAGTGTACGTTATATATAAATTATATATACGTTATATATAAATACTGAATCAAAGGTATGGATATTTTCAAAACCAGAAAAGTGGCGTATACAAAGATTCTTACGATTACAACATGCAATTGTTTATTCAACGAATGTGTACATTTATGTGTAACTATTTGAATAGTTTTGAGCAATAAGGGGTGATAAGGGAGAATTTCTTAAGGTGAAAATAAAATGGAGTGATAGCGAATGTTTTTTTTCATCATTGTAAGAAATGAGCATAAGTTATTAAGGATTAAACTGCGATAAGTCAAAGAGATCGAAAACATGCGATATCTCTATTTCCTATAACAGAGATGATTCTGAATATGAATCGAATCTGAATTTGAAAATGAATTTGAAACGAATCTGAATTGGAGGGATCTCGATCCCGATTTAAAAACTGAAAAAAAGATATCAGCACAAGATAATTTCTTAATTATACAATACATAAGTATATGAATACTGATATTTTTCTGTGATTTATTTTTCACATGTACCATGACGACGAATATATGGAATTTAAATCTGAAAAGTGTTAAGCCTCTTCCTCATCCCTATGCACTTATATGTAACAAAGTCTTGATTACTTCTGCATAATATCACTACATCTTTTTTTGTCCCCCGCTTTCACTGAAAGTGGGGGATATTAATTTGGGTCTGTCTGTCCGTCCGTCTATCTATCCATCCGTTTGTTAGCTGTCTGTCTGTAACACGTCCGTTTCCGCACGGATATCTCGAGAACTTTTTGAGCTTTCGCAATGAAATTTCTCACAGCAACTCCCTATGGCATACAGAAGAACCCTATTTATTTTGAGGTCAAAAGGTCAGGGTCATATATTCTGTCTGTTTTAACACTTTCGTTTCCGCGCGATATCTCGAGAATCCTTTGAGCTTTTGCAAGTGAGAGGTCACGGGTTAAAATCCCGGACGATCCTTTTATTAATTTTTTTCTGGATTTACTAAATGATACATGTAGTATTCAACATATGAAATGAAAAAGTTATGACGTCTGGCGTGTACAAACTCATAAAATCATTATTACAGAGTGATAAATATTCTATATAAATAGAATCTTCTATACACATATTAAAGAATAAGCAATCAAATCTTTATATCCATATTGGCATTTTATATTTGCTTCAATATACATATACACATTTAATAATTCTACAAATCCAGGGGGAGTACGACCCTCCCCCACTAGAATTGCGCATGCTCTTCCTTTTTCCTTAAGCGGGGGACACAAATTCTCTGAATTAGCTTGTTATTGTTCTGCTTTGATTTTTTTAAATTTTTGTTTTCGTTTCTTTGCTTGCTTGTTTTGTTTTGTTTTAGCTTTTGTTTGTTTGTTTTGTTTTGTTTTTTTTTTTTTTATTTTTTTTTGGGGGGGGGGTCCTTATTATTAATCATCAATTAATCATTCATTTTCTTCATATTTTTCTACATTTATTGATATGCTCTGTTCTTGGGGGGTGATGCTATTGGGTTTTTCGTCTCAAGACGTCCTCTTTTGAATTCAATCTTTTAAAATTTGTATTTTTTAATTATGGTTTTTAATCATGATATGATTACACGTGACTATCAATTTAGTTCTTATCATTAACCCACCTTTCCATTTTTCCTTATTTGAGGCTCCATTATGTAAAAATATAATTTTGTTCTGCTGACCGCTGGACATGCGCAGAGGCAGACAATATCGCCAATTTGTTGTCTCGAATGTCTGTTTAAAGTAGGAATAACCTTAAAAATCTTTACTAAATGAATAACATGCTCGATGTAGAATCTGTACTTTCGAATCTTTTTATTAACACGTTTGCACTCTTCTCGGATATTTTGTGGCTGGCGGCGAATTTGAGCTGCTGTAAATGGAGTAGCTATAGGATGTACGGATGGCTAAATGCTATCGCCTAGAAGGTAGCAGTCCCTTGGAAAGTCTAGTTCTTTATCAGATCCGATAGGCGTCATCATCCTAAAAGTTTGAGTATCATCAATGTGCCCCAGAAATCCGGATTCTATGTGACAAATTTTTAACTCAGCACCAATGATGATTTGTGTGTGGACACAGTGGTATCTGCGATGCCCGCGGTACATGTAATATAGACGTTGTGGTTCTGTTGAGGGACAGTAGATTTGATGAGAAGTCAACTCTTTTAGGTAACTTACGCCACCTACCTTTAAGATTACGCCATCGTTTCACTCCCTCTCTCTCTCTCTCTCTCTGGATTCATTCTAAATATATATCAATTGATAATTCACTCTTCGTGCATCTTTTATGTTTAAATGTACATGTAATTGTGCCTTGACCAATATGGAGAGAACAATCATATGCCTG